AGGTAGATATGTTTATTTTCTTTTTGGACTTTATTGTATTAGATATGGAAGAAGATAAAGAGATATTTATATTTTTTGGTGGAGGTAACAGGTAGGGCTATGATTGATGTGTAGAAGGGATAATTGATCATGAGAGTTCATAATCAAGAAGTCATCTTCAATGTCTTAAAATCTATAAAATTTCCTAAAGATTAGAGTGAAGATTATTATGGAATGAATTTAGTTGAAGCTTGTGTAAAGGATGTTATGAATGAGTTATCGAGTGAGACTCATTTGGATTTCTCATTGTGTGAGAATGACTTAGGAGAGGTAGATGAAGATTCTATTCATGTGATTAGTGAATCCCATAGAATATTTTAAGAGAGATATGAAGTATTGAATACATTATATCCAGGGAAGCTTTTAAAACCATTTATTATAGAGGCAATTAATCTTAAATTAAAAGCATTGCTTGTCCATTTAAAGTATGCCTTCTAAGGAGAGGACTTAACTTTATATGTTATTAATTATATTGATCAAGAATGTAAGTTGAATAAAGTTCTTAGCACGTATAATAAAAAATTTTTGTGGTCTATTATTGATATTCAAGATATTAGTATGTTAGTTTGTATGCATAAGATTCTGTTAGAGGAAGCCTGTCAATCCAAAGCTAATTATAAAGAAGGTTAAATCTTACTATGAAGGAAGTAGTGAAGATAAATATAATATAATGGTTGGATGCATGTATTATTTATTTTATTTCTAGTAGTTTTCTAGTTAGCCAAACTCACTATGTACCAAAGAAATGAGAGTAAACTATAGTTACTAATGAAATGAATGATATTATTTCGATTAAGACTGTGGTAGGGTGGAGGATATGCATAGATTCTAGGAAACTTAATAAAGTTACTAGGAATGACCATTTTATATTATCCTTTATTTAACATATGTTAGATAGATTAACTAGACATCCTTTTTATTATTTATTTGATAACTATTCTATATACTATCAGATTGTGAATGCGTAGAAGATCAGGATAAGGTGACATTGTCCAGTCCTTACGAAACATTTAGTTTAGAAGAATGACCTTTTGTTTGTACAATGCCCCTGTAATATTTCAAAAAATATATAATTTTTATATTTTTAGATTTAATAGAGCAAGGCATTAAAATTTTTATGGATGATTTTTATCTTTAAAACAAACTTTGATGTTGTTTAGATCATTTAGAATTAGTTTTGAAGAGATGTGAGGAGGCTAACTTTGTTCTCAATAGGAAAAAAATTATAGTTTATGGTTAAGTAAGGCATTATCCTCAGACAAAAATTTTTTGAGAAGGGTATAGAGGTCTAAAGGGCAAATATCTAGGTGATTGAGAATTTGCCACCTTGTATTTCTATTAAGGGAGTCCAAAATTTTTTAGGCTATGCCATTTTTGTAGAGGATTTATTATATATTTTTTTAAATTACTAAACCTCTATCATTTACTTGAGAAAGATATTCCATTTGAATTCAATTATGATTATTTAGCTGCATTTGAAATAATTAAGAAGTACTTAGTTATTGCACCTATCATCATTTCATCTCAATGCTCTTTAAATTTAGAATTGATGTGTGATGATAGTAACTATGCCATTAAAGGGAGAGATTATTCTGTGCGAACGTCGAACACAGCTCTACATCTGTATACCAATCAGAATGAGTCACGTCTGCCATACCAATCTGCAATATTGAGCGGTACTGATGCTCAGTACTGTGATAGCAAGCGGTACTGAAGCTAGGTACTGCGGTACCGAGTGGTACCTAGCCGCGGGCATAGGCATCCAGATAGGGTTCTGCTTCCGCACATAATAATTTTTCTATTAGAGAGTTTTAGGACAGACTAGATTAGAATTTTCATGTTAATTAGATGCACAAATTAATTACATAACTGAGAAAGAATTATGAGCGATAGTTATTGCTAAAGTTATTATTTTCACTTAACACTCTGTTATGAAATACATGTTAACTACAAAAAATGCTAAACACATATTAATTTGATGAATTTTATTGCTTCAAGAATTTGATGTAGATATATTAGATAAAAAAGATCTAAGAATTACATGATCGATAATTTATCTATCTTAGAAAAGGATGATTCTAAGCATAACGATTGTAACATTAATTAATTCTTTCCTAATGAGAAGCTGTTTGCATTACATTCATTATGTATGACTTGGTATGATAATATTATGAACTTCATTATGAGTGGAGTGATCCCTGTTGATATGCCTTACACCAAAAATTTATGCACAATTTCAATTTTTTTTTTTTTTTGGATGAGACTTAGGGATGAGACTTATTTATTTAGGAAGTATAACGATCAAATCATTAGAAAGTGTGCTCCATAATATGAGATTAAGCATATTATTAGTTAGTGCCATGATTTTGAGTATGAATGACATTTTAATGAATTTAGAACTACTTCTAAGATCCTTCGATCAAAATTTTATTGGACAACCCTATTTAAAGATGTGAATGAATATGTGAAAAGAAGTGATAGATGTCAAATGCAAGGTAATATTTCAAAGGGACAAGAAATGCCCCTTGTTGTAAATATAGTGAAGAAGAGATTTGATAAGCATATGAGAAATTTCTTGAGAGAGTTCTACAAATTTGAGTGAGATGTTCACTTTGTTTATTTCTCTAATCATATTAATTACTCCTTCAAATTGTTGCCAAAGCTCTTGATGGAGAGTTTTAAAAAGTCTTGTTGTAAATACAATGAAGATTTCATGGAGGTCCTATATATGTACCTTGAAGATCTAATTGAGGAGGCTAGGGTTTGTAGGTTTTTTTTTAAAGAAAAATAATATAAGGGTTTCTCCATTATGTGTGAAGGAGAGAGACTTCTCTACATTGCTACGAGCATAAGGAAAGAGTTTTAAGTGAAAATATCAAGGAGGCACTTGGGAATAGGACGTAAGCCCGTTGGTCAAACCACTATAAATTGATTTGTGCATTCTTACATTTAGTTTTTTTATTTTCTACACATTTTTTATTTTCCATTTATCATTTGTGCTTTTTTTGCTTAGTTGTGATATCTTTGTTGGAATCCATAATTAAAATTAAAAAAAAAATGTGAAAGATTAGCTTTGCTTTAATATTGTGAAGAATCATTATGAACATATTTAATAATAATAATAATGATAATAATAACTTTATTAATCATTTTAGTGTTTGAAGATATTGTACAATAGTATAAAACCCCACAATCCTCAAGGAATTATGGTCCTTTGTTACTATTTTAAATCACGCATTGTGCTCATCATCTAAGTATTCATTTGAAAAACTTTGTTACTATTTCTTAAAATAATTTTTGATATTAATTTTTTTTTGAATAAAAATTTTCGGTACTAAAAAGTTATTTTAGAAAATAATAAGAAAGCTATTCTAACTGAAGCGGACGATTTTATTTACTGCTTCTTAAAATAATTTTCTATTAGAAAAGTGCTTTAAGAAGTAGTAAGAAAACCCTCACAAATGAGCTTAAGGACATCTCCAATGGAACTACAAACAACTGTTTGCCGTTCTTCTGTCACTCCGACCGAGCGACAATTTCGCCGCTATTTCATAGCCGGTGAACAGTGCGACGTCAATACTGGTGTCGCATGTTAATCCGCTAAATTTTTATGTGTCAACGAGATTTGCTCGCGAAATGGAGAAAGACGATTAGAGACGACGAAGCCCGCAAAATGGAGTTTGTTTGGAGCAGCATTTTGAAATTTTGCAGTATTTTGCAGTAAAAAATGTGGTTTTCAGTTGGAGATGTTCTAAGACTTTGTTTGGGGTAGCTTTCTTACTCCCTTTAAATTAGCTTTTTTGGTACAAAATTTTTTGCTAGAAAATAATTTTAGAAAATAATAATAAAATAATCCCAAATAAAATTTAAATCCCTCATTTAAGTGGATTTATGAGATTTGACCAGTTGATTTTACTGCCAATAAAAAGAGCTTCCCTGAATCTTTTCCACCGTTAATTAAAATTGTGAAAAAAAAAGTGATATATTTATTTGTATTATATTTAAATTACTCGTGCATTTAAATGATTCAGGAGGAAAGTGGAAAACGGGAACGGCACTCCCCATGTAATTTTGTCGGTGGCGAGATTTGTTGACTATGTTGCACTACCCACGTCATGAGGCGCACGATTTCTTGTTGTAGGTTGGCGAATTTATCTCTTATTCTCGCGATAAAACAGAAAATTTTAATTTAAAAAAAAAAAACGCCCGACATTTAGTAATTTTCGACTTTGAAATAACGCTTTGAAAAGTTTAATAAAATTAAAAGTCCAAAAAAAAAAAAAGTTTAATAAAATTCTGATGCAATATAAATTTCAAAAGAACTCGAGGAAATCAAAAGATTGTTGATTTTTAAAATCTTATCAATAACAAAAATTTAATATTTATTGGGAACATCTTTCTTATTATTTTCTTAAATAATTTATTTTTATAAAAAATTATTTCAGCTAAAATTTGTTTTACTAAAATACTATTTTAGAAAGCTTTAAAAAATATCTCAAACCTTAAGTTTCATTTAGGACGGCTTTCTTACTATTTCTTAAAGCATTATATTAAGTTTTGTTTTGAATGACAAACTTCTTCTTCCTCTCCTAACTCTCTCACCCTCTATCTCTCTCTCTAAATATATGACTAAAATATTTAAAATTTGCTTCTACCTTCTCAACCATATAATCCTTCTTAGACTTCATTTAAGACCATTTTTATATTGTTTTATATAATTATCATAGATAAAAAATAAATTTTTAAAATTGTTATAAAAAGTAATTTTTGAGTACAACTTTTTCTTTGAAATAATAAAAAAATTATGATTCTGATCTAAAAAATAAAATAGTAAAAAAAATTATCCTAAATGAAATCATTATTTTGTTCTTTGAACCTTTAAGTTTATAGTAAGTATAAGTTATTTGATTGATAAATATTTTAAAAAAATTATAAAAGTAATAGTTTTTAAATTGGTTTTCCTTTTTTTTAATTCGTCTTTCCTGTTAGTGAAGGTCAGGTCTTTCTTAATACTGGCAGCACCAGCTGCCACCTAGTTCTAAGAGAGGGATATATGAACTGATCAAATGCCTCATTCCTCTTCATAAGGACATCAATCGTCCTCATCCCTTGCATTGGCTTCCTCTGATTCACATTAGACAGGTTTGCTTGCTTCATTCTAATCCAATAACTTCTTATAGGTTTTTTTCTTCTTGTTCTTTTGAAAGAATGAGATCTTCCAGTTTGTATTTGATTGCTTTTTTAGTTTGAAAGGCCTCTTGCTAATGGTATTGGCAGATGATTTTGGCGGTAAAAATGGTTTCTGTTCCAACATTTTGACCCAAATTAGGGTATTTTCATCGTTTGTCGTTCATGAACCTAGCATTTTGGTCATTTTCTTGACAGGAAGACAGATCTAACGAAGAAAGATTCATGATTTGAAGCTCCTAAGTGTTTAATTTTTTTTCTTTTTTGCTTATACTGTAACTTCAGCATCTTTTCCATAGATTTTGTGTTTTGCTCGTCTTTTCTTAGAGTTAGGGCATTTTATATGCTGTTGCTGTAGCGCAGCATTTCCTTCATGGATTTTGTGCTTTTGTTCAGCATTTCTTCTAGATTCTCAGTACTCTGACAACTTTTCCTCATAGTTTCATGTTTTCCTGTAATGCTGAGAAGAGATGCCTTTTTGTCTTTAAATTATACAAATTTAATTATGTTCTACATTCAGTTCAAATGCATAAAATCTCTTATTAGCGTTTCAACTTTTTATTATCCTTTTTGCTATTTTATTGTGTTTAATCCTCTCTCTATCTTATAATTAATACTGGAGTGGTAGCTAATAATCCTCACTGGTAATGTCAATCCTTTAATTCTCATTAGATCCTGATAAGATAAGAGCATTTCTCTGTTATCTCTGTTCTTCATTTTTCCTTTGCTTCCTGCAGTTTGCAGGTTCTATCAGATCCTTTAAAATTTAATGATTAAAATCGCATTTTTGTCTCGAAAATTGTTGATTACTGATTTCATTCAGTAATGTTAATGAGATAATGTTTGTTACATGTGGATCAGCAATTTATTTCAGATTAAGCACTTTAGTCTTTATTTTGTTCAATGTAGTTTTCGTGTGTTCTAAATAACTATTTTGATGTTGTTTTTTATATTGATTGCAACAGTAGGAAATAGTATTACAATTTGTACTCAAAGTCCCAGCTCATCTGATAGCTTTTTGACTCAATTTCTGGTCTCTTACCATTAGACTTTACTCGTTAGCTTTTGCTATTTCTGTAGCTTATAATATCTCCCAGCACTGCATGGTGTGGGTTGAGCTTGCTACATGCAATCGTACTCCTTCCTTTAGGTCAAAGTGTGGCAATCAAACCATTCCTCCAATACCTGCTTTGGATATGTCTGTCATATAATCCTAGATTAAATCTTTGTAAAAATGAGATCAATTTATAGAGATCGGGTCTGCGGCCGAGTGGTCGACGGAAGAAATTCCTCCTATCTCACAGGACTCGAATCCCCTAACTATCCAAAAAAAAAAAGATCAATTTATAGATCATATGTCAGGCTGACAACCATGTGAATTTGCTTTCATGCATTCATTGTAAATCTCTCATGCTCATAAATTATGACATTACTATCCTGATTTATACAATTTATTGTTTTTCTATTCTTGAAAAGAAATGTTCATACTTGCAAAGTTTGTGATGTTAATATAAACTTGTTGGGAAACAGGAAGCTCAATCACCGAAGGATAGGAAAAGCTGATAATTAAAGAAATGGCTCTGACCACTATATTCTTGATATGTAGCATCCTTACCCTATGGAGCTCTCCCATTACTGCCCAATCCCCACCTTCTCTACTTCTCTCTCCATCCCCCTCACCTGCCCCAGCTCCAGCTCCTCACTTTGTCAATCTCACAGATCTTCTCTCCCTCGCTGGCCCGTTCCAGACCTTCCTCAACCTCCTCGTCCAAACCGATGTCATACAAACCTTCCAAAACCAAGCCAACAACACTGAACAAGGAATCACTATCTTTGTCCCGAGCGATTCTGCATTCGCAGACATCCAAAAGCCTTCCTTCTCAAACCTCACCAAAGACCAGCTCAAGTCCCTGGTCCTCTACCATGCATTCCCAAAGTACTATTCCCTGTCTGATTTCAAGGACCTCAGCAGCAAGAACCCTGTGAGCACATTTGCTGGAGGGCAGTACACGCTAAACCTCACCGACACCAGCGGGCTTATTCAGGTTGGTTCGGACTGGTCCAACCCAAAGATCAGCAGCAGTGTCTACTCTACAGACCCTGTTGCAGTTTATGAAGTGAACAGCGTTCTCCTTCCGAAGGCAATTGTTACTACAGCACCAGTTCTCACACCAGCCCCAGCACCTGCGCCTGTTCTCAGCCCAATTTTGGGTTTGGCACCTATAGGAGAGAAGGGGAGAGGGGAAGCCCCAAAATCATCAGAATCAACTAACAATGATTCTTCTTCGCATGGCATTGCTGTGAGTAGATTCAGTTACTTCCTTGCTGTGGCAATTGGTGCACTTCTGCTTATGCTTTGAACTATAGTAGATCAGATGCAAGTTTCAGTCTATTTCATGCTTATTCTTTTGGTGGGAGTTGGCTGTGTTGATTGAATTGGGAGTTTGATATATATATATATATATCGGATATGTTGAAGATTTTTTTTTTCTTCATTTTGTTTTTCTTTTTTTTTATATAATGAATACCATTGGATCATTCTGTGAATTGCTCTTGATTTTCGTAACCCTAAACTAGTCATTTGTGTCAGTGCAACTAAATCCTCTTTGTTACAGCATAAAAAGGTCTGAGAAACTGGAAAAATTTCTGCGCTGAAATTAATCTATTTGGGAAGATGGCTGCTAATCATTAAATATTCAAGTGTGTGACATGCTCTTATGGTCTTCCAATTAGAAGGATATCTTATAGCTTAATGAAAGAAGTAAGATTTCTGAAAATTTCTTTGCTATGTGATATAAATCTAGTAAAGGCATTCTCCTCTTCATTAATGTCCCGGTTAACGTTAAACAAGGAGAATCTCATTCCAAGCATTGATTTCTCTGCCAGAAGTTGTGGTTGTGTGCTGATTTGATCTCAGAACCTTTAAGCAGTGTATATCAATTCAACCCTATGGACTAACTAGGCTGAAAATTCTAGTGCCCTTAGTACAGAACTTGGTCAACCCAGATAAGGCCGGTCAGTGACTTTATGTGGATTTGATCTGTACTTAGAAAGTTGTAATGCATATCTGATGTACTTAGATCGAAATAATTGATGTATTCTTACTGCATGTGAAGCCTTCATTAGGTCAGATTGAGAGTGTCTGTTGCGCTGACTGGCAGGTTGGCTCGAATTTGACTTATAATTTAGCTTGCAAGTTGAGCTTATTTTGTAGGTCATATATTTTATGAGCTAAAACTTGGTGAGCTTGGCTTATTAGCTTGCTAGTCCGCTCATTTGGTCATTATTTTAAATCCCCAATTCTCTAAATAGTTTATAAATATTGTTGGCTTTGTCATTATCTTCTCCCATGGTCCCAAGAATGCCATCTCCCACGAATTCCAATCATGACTTCTATAGCTAGTCTTATTATCGCCATCTCTTGCAAGTTTCTGTTGCTACTCTTTCGCATTGGTCCCATGATATACCATTATTTGTGAGTTCCCATTGATGCCATCTCCCAGTTGTTACGATGCCTTCTCCAACAAAATCCTATAGATGCCCGCAAGAGTTTTGAGATTTTGGGTTGAGTTCGAGCCCACCTTATGAGTTTGACTGAAGCTCGAGGTTGAATTTGTGCCTGTCATACGATAAGTAAGTCTAAATTAAGTTAGTTGTGAGATGAACTTGAGTCTAAATCATTTACACCCCCAGGTTATGTCATGTAATTTACTATCTTTCTTTATTGATATTTACATACATAATACTAAAAAATTATTATTTTTACATATTTAAGCCTAAAACATTTTATTTAACTCATTGCATCTACACTCTTAAAACCCTCAAGGATGAAGAAGGGTGAAGAGGTTGCGATGAGATCTTGCAAGGACAATAAAGTCGTGATGAGAATCCACTAGAAAGGATATTGATGTAACCAATGACATGTGAAGGATAAAGAAGAGATGAGAAAATCACAATGAGGTCTCTTCGGGGATGGGCATCCACGTTATTTGCAGGCTTGGAAAGGTTGAAGAAGAAATAAAGATGTAACGATGAGATCTCATCATTCCTCATTGTCAAATCAGAGGCATCGATGGGACAAACAACTAAGAGGAGTTTGAGAAAAAAAAGTTAACGATGAGGGTGAAGAGTGTTATTTTTTATGATAACTTAGTCCAAGGGTCTCCAGGGATTGCTACTCATCTAGATGCCTTCCCAGCAGGGCGAATTATTACGTCCGGTCACCGGACACCCAATACAGACACGCCACGTCTCCTAAAAACACTGGATCCCGGTGTATTTTGGTGACGTGGTGCGTCTGGATTGGTGTCCGGACGAATCCGGAAACAGGACGTAATAATTTGCCTCCCAGCAGATGTCACGACCAATATCAAGTTACGGTTGGATAATATGAAGAGTGAGGTCATTTTTTAATTTTTTTTTACAGAGTGCATATTCTTCTCATGTCAACCAAGTTAACAGGGGCATCTTCTTCCCAGATGGTTGACTTCATATATTCTCACTTCATTTGCGAGGCTTGTTTTAAGGAACTTTTATTTGGTCCGGTCACCTAACGTAGATCTATGTTCGGACGCCAGTAAAAGAGTGTCACGTATTCTTACTCTTTACCGCGCGGCCCGAAAACCCGAACCGGAACGAACCCGAGATTTCTCGGTATTGCTCAGTATTGCTCGGTATTGCAAGATATTGGTCGATTTTGCTCTGCAATAATGAGAAATACCATTTTGTGAGGACCAATACCAATTTTTTCTCGGTATAACTCGGTATTGCTCGGTATTGGTCTTCACAGAGCGGTATTTCTTGTTTTTGCCAAGCAATACCTAGCAATACCGAGCAATACGCGAACATAGCAATTTCGGGTTCCAGTCCGAGTCGGGTCTAAAATACCACGATATGATTCCCCTGATTCCCCTTTTATTTTAAAAACAACTTTAACATGATATATATATATATATATATATATATATATATATTGAAAATAGGTTACCATATTTTTCAGATTATTTTTCTTAGCTTTTGAATAAGATTAACGATGATTGAAAAAGTAATGTAATGTGGACGGTAAATTGTCTTTAAAAAATTTAATGATTTTAGTGGAAGCCCTTAGAAATTAAAATACTCCAATATTATTCTTGCTTTTATTTCAAAAACAACTTTAACATGATATGGCAATATAGATATTGAATATAGGTTACCACAATTTTTCAAAATATTTTTCTTAACTTTTGGATAAGTAACGATTGAAAAAAAAAAAGGTAAGGTAATGTGATTGCAATAAATTGAAAAAAAAAATGCTTATCATATTTTTATAGTTTCTTGATCAATTTGATTAGTCCACTTTTTAAATTCCTATCCTCCAGAATTTCTCTCTCTCTCTCTCTCCTCTCCCCTTTTGCTCCCAACGCGAAAAGAAACTCTTCTCCTTCATAGGGTATTGCTTTTCTACAAAAAAGCCTTCAACTCCCTCCTTTTGCACCCAACATAGTTGAGATAACTCAACTCGCTCATCATGCTCTCAGCATGGTGGAGATGCCTCAACTCTCTAGCATCCTCAGCTAGACCCAGATTATTTTACACAAAGACTCTTCAGAGCTTTTTTCCCATGAGCTTCTTATAATAGCTTTGAGGAATAAGGATATTGATTGAAAAAAATAACCTTGTTTGTACTCACACAAAGATCTCTAAGATACAAGAAATCTCTCACACATTCTCTCTCTCTCTCTCTCTCTCTCTCTCTCTCTCTCTCTCTCTCTCTCTCACACACACACACACACACACACACACTCACTCACTCACTCACTATTCTCTTAAATTAATGCAAGAACATATAAACGGTTCCCATACATAAGAACTCCCTCTCTCTCAAAAGCTCTCTCTGAAAACTCTAGGTAAAAGCACTTTTCTTCTCACTTAGGGTTTCTTGGACTTAGATATTTATATGATGGTTCCTAAAAAGAAACCCTAACTAGGTTGTTTATTAATTTTGATTGCATGGTTGTATATTACAATCCACTTATCATATAGTGCTATTAGATAATTTAGCCTAAACCCCTAAAAATTGCCCTCTCTATTTGATTAACTTGTACGATGTTTATCGTATAATACAATTTGTTTTAAGTTTTCAACTTGGAGAATTGGATCATTCTATCTACAAGAATATTGTTCCAACAAGCACTATGTTTGTTTGGCCTATATGATATGGATCTTATAGTACAAAAATTCCCCTCATTCGAGTCCTTGATATCCGGTTCTAAAATAGGTAAATATTTAACATGAAATTTAAAATTTGTATAGTACAAATATTTTTGTATCATACAATTATTACAAATTTAAATTGGCCAATTTATAAAAATAATATAGAGTTGTATTTTAATTTGAAATGAGTAGTTGACCATATCTGACCTGTTACAACAAACATAATCAAGACAGATCCTATTATGTTGGGTTGCGAAAGACAAATCCCTAGATCTAGTTTTGAAAAATGCTTCAGATTTTTTCTTCCAATTTAAACTTTAAAATAAACATATATTATAGAGCTACTAAAAACATTGAGAGTTCTCAAATTAAACTCATCCACAAAATCTCATTCATATCATCAAAATGCGTATACAACAAGGGTGGAATCAGCCATAATTTTGAGGGGGGGCAATTGTCCCCCTAGCCATAATGGGGTTTCGCCCTTGGTATACAAGATCTATACTATAATATATGGCTACATAACAGAAATCAGAGAAAAATATCTAAACTAGTTATGAATGTACAAAAATAAAAAAAAAATAAATACTTATAAACTCAAATCAGATTCTAAACTGTTAATCAACATGCTCCTTCCCTTTCCTAGATCTTAAAATAAAATGTAAAAGCACAGTGAGCTACAACAACTTAGCCGGCCACAAACATTAATCTAAATCCTAAATATTTTTTATTAGCAAATTTTAGAATATTTAAAAGCAGTTTAATGCAGTATAATAAATCATTATCCTGAGTAAAATAATAAAAAACATAACATTTATACATATTTAAATAATAGTATTGAGTAGACAAATAAAACTAAAATTCATATCACATAATAGTTTGTATCACAGATTTTTCCAGTCCTAGTCATAATCTCAAATGATTCTAGTCTTTTATGACTCCCAATAGAATTTCTTCCTCTTTCAGACATAATACTAAAGAATTCTAATCCCTTATAACTACCAACAGATATATTTTTTAATCATTGTTGATCTTATTCAAAATAAAGGAAAATATTTTGAAAAAATGTGGCAACTCATTCTCCATTAAAAATAAATACACACATATTAAATTTCGCTCTATTGCGTTAAAGTTGTTTTTTTAAAAAAAAGGGAAATTATATTTTGGTGTTTTAATTTATAAAATTTTTATTGTAATAGTTAATATATCAAAATAATAACCACATCAAGCCTTTATCCCACTACGTGGGGTCGCCTACATGAATCCTTTTTCTCCATGTGTCCTATT